ATAATGCATAGAGTAATCTCCTCCAACAATATCTGTATTTGGTCTAGGCAGCAAGTGGTGCAGCTCTGTATCATAAGAACTGAAGTCATAAGCACCAAGCCAACGTGCCTATGGACCAACAGAATCTTGAAGTAGGACAGCCAGTGAAAACATCAAACAAAGCACCTGATTCTCAGCCTTCTGATTCCTTTTTTAAAACCCAGACGCCTCCTTGTTAGCTTCATCACTGGCCTGTAACGCCCCAGCTTGCAATCTGTGGGCAGTCCTTCTTACTAGACAGCAGAGAATTTAGATTGAACTGAATTTCAGAAAGGCAGTATGTTAGATCAAAAATAGTGCATTCCTGAGCAACAAAGTAGGGGCTAAAGACAAACAGATTAATTCCTAAAGAACAAAGTTAATTTCTCCTTTCCAGATTACAGAAAGGACTAATGTGAAACGGGATAAGCAGAATGCAGGAAATTATCTGCAAATTAGCACAGGACGCCACACAAGAACGGTTTCCATTCTAGAAACTGTCCAAACTAAGGCAACACAGCAAGGCTGTGTCCTATGCTACAACATACCTGATCTCCTCCAGGAGCGCTGTTTGGGAAAGCTGACACAGCAGATATTCCTCTCTTCGTCTGGACACACAGTTACACAGCATGAAGATGACCAAATCCATGAGCTTTGTGCATTTGCTTTTAGGCATCTGAAAAATTCAGCTTGCTAACTATCCTGGGCTAGTCTACAACAAGAAGAAAAATGCTTCATGCATGCATCCACAAAGGCCAGCGCCACAAAGAATTACGATGCTGCAACGCTGCAGCGCACTGCCAAGACTGCACCGGCACAGGGAAGCCTCTATGACAGGAGGTGTGCTCTAGGAGCAGCACGAGAAGCTGCGTACCTGAAGGAAGTAGAAAAGATGTTGACAGGCTTCCAGCTTTCTTCCCCCCCCCTTCTCTTTGCTCAAAGCTTTCAAGTCTCCCTTTTGCTTGTTCAGCGTCATCATGTCAGAGCTGCTTCTTGTTCTCCTTAGAAAGCTTTTTGCTGTGAGAAATGACATCCTGCAAAGGACAGAGAGGGACAGATTCCACGCTTACACATTCCAAAGTAAGCAACACTGGAAAAAGTTGCACCAGAGAGGCTGCTTTCTTACATGTAGAAAAGACAGAGGTAAGGTACGTCTGGGCTGATGAAGAGGAATGTCATTTGTTGGAGTAGGGAGTTCTCCATGCTGTCCCCAAATTCCTGAGTTTGTTGAGAACCCTAGGAGGACTGACCACTCTGAGCAGTGATTACTATCAGAGCTGGTAGCGTCCTGACGATGCTTGAAAACCCCTTTCTTTCTGAACTGAGCTTCAAGCCCCAACACCTGTTTTCTATTTTGCTGCCTCACTGCCTCTACATACTCAGAACGATGGCACTTGTCGCTGCCAGCACCAGCCTGAGAGTTGGAGAACTGAAGAAGTGAAGTTCAGAACTGAACTTCACTGCCACAGCTCAGAATGCCACTCCAGGTTAAGCCTAGCGCCGTGCTATTCAGAGCAAAGGAAAAGGAGACCAGATCTCCAGCTTGAATGAAAAAAGGAACCGCTGCATCAGCGATGTCACTGAGCTTTGGTGAAATTAATCATCAGCAAAGTGACAGAGGGGGCCTCCATCAGCCAACCAACACCAAGCAGCCAGAGTACTTTTCCTGCTCTGAAATCTCCTCCACCCTCTGCTACAGCATCCAAAGTGTGAGAAATTAAGGTGTGCAAGTTCATGACCAATGTAACCACAAGTGAACAACAAAACAATTCTCAAGGCCTTCCACCATTCAGTCTGCTGCCTTCATTGGGTCAGCGCAGTTTGGTGTGAGTTTTCCTTTATGCTCCTTTGTTTGCTTTTAAAATGCTTCAGATCTTGTCCCTTTTCCTTCTACAACCATCTTCTAGGGATACATGCTAAGTAAGTGTAACAGAGTATGAATTCAGTGGGAGGAAAACCGCCGAGTCTGGAGGAACATTCTCCAGCAAGTCTGAGCAAGTGAGATCCGAGGCCAGGAACTCTGCACTGACTAACTGCCACTGGCCTCAATTCATTCTGTTCATCTCCTAATAGTACACTTTGATCCTGCAGCATTATTTTGTTCTTCCACTAGCAGCCATTTTGCTGTCCATTAAACTGAAATCATTTTCAAGTTGCTGATTGTACAGTGAAGCTTACAACTTCCTCGCAGAGTTACATCAGCTCAAGGTCCTCCTGAAGATGTTGGTCAGTGATTTGAGCAAGTGGACAGATTTCCGAACCATACCCATTGGTGGGTTTTCAGCATTAAGTAAAAATAAGTGACCAAACTTCAGAAAATAGATTATTACCTTGAGAATCATAGAACTGCTCATGTTGGAAAAGGCCTTAAAGATCAAGTCCTAACACAACCTAACCATACTACCCTACCTCTAACAACCCTCTGCTAAATCACGTCCCTGAGCACCGCATCCAGATGGTTTTTAAAAGCATTCAGGGATGGTGACCCAACCACCTCCCCGGGGACCCTATTCCAGTGCTTAACAGCCCTTTCTGTATAGAAGTTTCTTCCCGATATCAAACCTACACTTACCCTGGCACAACTTGAGGCCATTTCCCCTCATCCTGTCACCTGTCACCACTGAGAAGAGACCAGCCCCGCTCTCACTGTAAGCACCTTACAAGTATTGGAAGAGCAATCAGGTCTCCCCTCAGCCTCCTCTTCCCCAGACTGAACAGCCCCAGTTCCTTCAGTCTCTCCTCGTAGGCCATATTCTCCAAGCCCTTCACAGCCTTGTTGCCCTTCTTTGGACCTGCTGCAGCACCTGCATGTCCTTTCCATACTGAAGTGCACAAAACTGAACACAGTACTCAAGGTGAGACCTCACCAGTGCTGAGCACAGGGGCAGGATGACTTCCCCAGTCCTGCTCACCACACCATTCCTGATAAAAGCCAGGAGCCATTGGCCTTCTTGGCCACATGGACACACTGCTGGCTCATACTCAGCCAGCCGTCCATCAGCACACCAAGGTCCCTTTCCATCAGGCAGCTTTTCAGCCACTCCTCCCCAAGCCTGTAGGGTTGCCTGGAGTTGTTGTGACCAAAATGCAGGACCTGACACCTGGCCCTCTTGAAACTCATACAGTTTACCTTGGCCCATTGATCCATTCCATCCAGGTCCCTCTGTTGAGCTTTTCTCCCCTCTGGCAGATCAACACTCCCTCCCAACCGGGTGCCATATGTAGACTTACTGAGAGTGAACTCAACCCCCTCATCAAGATCATTAATAACGATACTAAACAGAAGCGGCCTCAGGTAGGCAGAGACCTCCAGCAAGAGAAGCCCTCACCTCCACTGCCAACCCTTAAACGAGGTCTGGGAAGAGGTGGATCCTGGCTCCGCTCCTTCCAGTCACTCAGATACACTGCTTGCACCTGAGCTCTCCTGTTAGCCTTGCCTTCCCACCAGGTGCTCAAATCACTGTTTCAGGCCATAACTTAGCATTTCCGCTACATAAACTTCATATTGTCCTATTTCCAAAACACCAAATGAGATAGTGAAATGACAGGTGAACATTTCTCAGATGTGCTTTCTCTCTCTCTCTCTCTCTTTCTCTCTCTCTGTTCTGCTTGAGAAGAAATTATTGCTCATATATCATTAAGAGAAGTAACTTACACAAAGATTTTTTGGGAGAAGGAAATGCCTTTCAGTAATCCACAAAATGAGAAGATATCTAATTGTGTGGCAACTCTTTGTGTTGAACAAAACTAGTCAATAAGTGTGCATATAGAGAGCAACTGGCAATTTTCTAACCAAATTAAAGGATTTCATACCTGGATGTGCCTGACTGCTGGAACTTCCTTCTTCAAAAAACTCACTCTGGAGACAAATTCCTGACAAACAAGACAGCCTCAACAGCAAGCCTGAAGCTTCACAATCAGGTTCTCATTGGACAGCCACAAATGCTCTTGGTTGTATGCCATAGTGACTCCAAACACTGTGCTCTGGATTAGCACTATGGTACGAAAAAGACAGGAAGAGAGAACAGAGATGCAAGAAATGGGATGTTATACAGTGGTTTCTGTATGGTGCTCAAGAGGAACTTACAAGACGTCTTCTAATAGACGGCAACACCACAGTCCTTTATCCAACAGAATAAATTTTGTGAAATAAGACAGAGGTTTGACATGCAAAGGTAGGTGACACACAGCAAAATAACTTTAAAAGCTTGTTTAACAGTGCTATTGTGGTGAAACACTATCTCTTAAAGTTGTGATAAGAACTGAAATGGTGGCAACTTCATCTTTAGAGAAAAAGAGCATGTACTCTGTATCTCCTGCCATGACAACTCTGTCACTGTGCACAAATTCAGACCGAGCATTCCATCCTCCCTCTTTGGTCTCCTGGTTATAACAATGACAGCCTCCTCTCACCCAGTGTTTCACCTATTCACTGCCATTGCTTTTCAAAAACAGAAACTGCAGCATGTTGAAAAAAAGACAGATGTCTGTCCTTCCCATATAAAAATGCTGCAATAAGGAAATACATTCACAGAGGTGCCTTCCTCCAAGCAAGAAAAGGAACACGTGAGACCCAGTGAACTACCACAAGAACTACCTAAACACAACACATTCTACAAGTGGGGAATGTTTTACTGTTAACTTTTTTTTTTTTTTTTTAAACATAAAGACTTTAGTTTACAAGGCAGCCTCAATTTCCTGTAACACAAGATTCCAACAAGACACCCCATAATGCACAAGACTTCTCCCTAGAGGCTTTTTTTCTCTCTGGTTTCCATTATACATGCAACAATCTTGAACTTACTGCACTAATATTTAGTTATTTGAGGTTCACCTGTTGCCATATTTCCTCTCTTCTGCCGACTCTCGCTGCTTTGTCTCCACATTCTGGAGTGACTGGAGTGATCAGATCACTGCTCAAAAGCCAGATGGAATGTTTGGAAATATCTGACAAGTAATAAAGAACATAGGAGGCAAAAATATATACTTCAATTAATCTATATTCATCCTACATCAGAGAATCACAAAACGGTTTAGGTTAGAAGGAACCTCTGGGGGTCATCTGGCCAAACCTGCTCAAGCAGGGACATGCTGAATACTGTGGATAGTGCAGGCCTCTACTTATCATAAACAACAAAGGAGAATGACACGAGGTACAGGAAAGGATGACAGGAGGTACAAACCACTCACTTTACAAAACAGACACAGAAGCTACAAAACTTGGTTTCCCCTATCACAGAAACTTTATTATCTTCACATTCTGCAGTAAGTCTTAATAGCAATCAAACTAAATTATGAAGTAGAGAGTTTAAGCACACAAAAGTTTCTACTTCTGACAGCACCTGGATACACTAATACTCACCCTTCAGTCAAATACCATGAATACTGTGACCTTGCCCAACTCCATAAATCATCTGGATAGAGTCACACAAAAAAAAAACCACCAAGAGAGGCTCCAGCTCATGAAATTTATTAGCCACAGGTCACAACTGCTAGAAGAATATTCCAGGACTACCTCTGACAACAAACCAGAAACTGAATTTCTTTTGATCAATTACAACAGTTTTCTTAGCAAGTTTTTATCAACATTTGCTTACTTATTAGCTATTCCACTTTCATGCTGACACATTTTAAAAAATAAAGATCTTTGTGTGTCCATTTTATGACACCACAGGCCTCTGGCATGTTACAGCCACAGCTGCAACTCCTGGGACCTGGTTTTGTTCACAAAACGCCCGCATCCTTGAGAAGAATGTCAGAATTACAGAAAGCTTCTGCCACTAAATTCATGACTCAGAGCTGCTTTCCAGTTCACCTGAGTACACCTGGAGTTTCTCACCACCTCAAGCTTATTTACACAAAAATAAGAATCACAGCTGAAACCTTCAACCAATAGAATCAACCAAAATGTTGCTGTGCTTTCTTGAACTTTATGTCAGATTTCTGACTACATATGAACCGCCATCAGAAGTGCTAGAACTAAACTCATTCTCTACAGAGTGTTTGTCTTTCAATCCACAGCTGCAACTAAAATTGCTTTACAGTTGTATTTCACAACTGTTATCTCTAGTAGCATTTCCAGAACAAAACAAGGCACAAAGCAACAAGGCCACATAGCACACAAGGGGAAGGTGGGTTCTTCAGAATCACCAGAGCTGGCCTACAGCCCAGAAATACATTTCTGAAGGAAAAGTGACTGAAGAATCTATTCATCTAGAAAGATTTTGAGGCCACGCAGCGCAATTAAAGAGCAAAACAGCCTCCTAGGCAAGGACCGCCCCCACTTCCCCAGGTGAACAGCAGCTTATGAAAAGGCTCTACAGAAGAAAAGCCTGTCTGAACGCGGGCAACGGCCTTTTCAGCACTCCTCGGGTTAAACTGCACCGAACCTATTTCTGACGGACGTACACAAAGCGACAAAGCTTCTACGAAAGAAACCGCACCGGAACGCAGAGCGAGGAACGGCCCGGGGCCCTCAGCCGCAGATCCCCCGGGTTGGGCGTCCGAAAGGCTCCGGGCCTACTGGTGGGCCCTGGGCGAAGCAGACGCTGCCCAAACCCAGAGACGCCCGCGGCCAATTCAGGGCCCGCTGCGTGCAAGGAACCAGCCAGGTCGCCCCCGGGGTGAGGGCGGAACCGCGCCCAGGCAGCGGCGGCTCTCAGGCCAGCGGGCTCCCGGAAAATCCACCGCGCAGTCCCGGGAGGGTGGAAGCAGGAAGCGCCTTTTTTGGGCCTCGGAAGTACCATAAAAGGCGAGGTGGAAACGCCAAATATGGTGTCCTGCTTCCGGCCGCCACTGAAGCGGCGTTTCCGTTCGGCCTTGGCGGCCCCGTGCCTCCGTGACGCGGCTCAGCCCGCCGCCTGCGGCGGCGCGCTCCCAGCAGTGGCGCGGTGTGCCGCTGCCCGGCCCTGCCCCGGCGGCGCGGTGCCGTTCCGCGAGCAGTCGCTGTGGGTTCCCGCGGCGCCCCCAAGACCAGCTGGGCTGCTGCTAGCGGTGACGCACGTCTTGTTTCTCTGTCACTAATGATCACAGCTGAAGCTAGTCACAGATCACAAACCGCTGAGGTTTAAATCAGCCAAACGAATTTTCTGACAGTGGCCTGTGCTACCCTTAGTGTGCTTCTCGTCCAGCTCCAGCTGGCATTTGCTCACAAGGGGTGAAGTTTCCCAGCTCCTGGCAATGCCTGCTGCTTCTCTGGGAACAGCCTCCTTGGGAGAGAATCCTAACTGTGCTGTGGCCTCCTCAAAAGAAAATTCTCACGCTCCCAATAAAACTAGGGAGTAAACTTCATAAGGCTTGTTCTCTTCAGACCAGTGTGAAGAAAGAGAGCTTCACAGAATATGCACAGAAACCCTGAAATATACTTTCCTGTTACTGGACAAAGGCCACAAAAAGACCAGGCACAGAAGGCCATGTGTTTTCTTTCATTCCTGTCATGCATGTGGACAGACAATTCAAAGTAAAAGTTGCCACAGTTGAGACCAAAATCTAAGGACTGCATTCAAGAGGAACTAGCCAGGGAATTCAGCTTGTTGCACTCCTGAGCCTGTGGACTTGACTTTGGCAAGTATTAGTGTGTGCCATCTGCCACAGAAACTGCTTCCTGTTGAACATCATGCCAGATACAGGCATCAACTCCTGTGTTTGCTTCTCAGCTCCTCACACCTCCAGATATCAAGTAGTTTGTAAAGAACCTACCTGGAAAGACCCCTCCTTTAAATTTGTACTTCTACTTCTCACAGCTGCAAACTCCTCTGAATTCACTCCATAGAGAGCTTGTGCACTCTGAAATATATTTTAAGCCATCAAATAAGGATGCTCTTTCCTTCTACAAACACTAAAACATTTGTACTATAGGCCATCAAGCACATGCACTTCTTATGCCATGCGCTGTGTAACAGAAGAAGCTATGACAATTCTCATCTCCCTGCCTTCCGTCCATCAGCCACATGTACTGAGCTTATTTTATTTTCAGCTGGAAACTATGCCATTGCCTTAACACACCCTTTTTACTACCCAGTAAGGTCTTTGCATATTTGAGATTCTGACTTTTAAGCCTCACCTTCAGCACTGGGAGCATTGTTTTGCTTTCTGGAGAAGCCAGAAAACAGGAATTGTGATTACTTCCAAACAGTAGATGATGCAGCCAATGCAAGGGCATTTGCTGTATCCACACCTTTGACAGCTCTCCTGGACACAGTCAGGAGTGACTGATACTCCTTCCTTTCTTCATGCAGGTACTTCTCCAGGAAACAAATAGCATCCATTACTTCCTAGCAGTCAGGTTTGCTGCAGCTGTCTTCTTATGTGGCAGCTTAAAGGAAAATGTGAAAACTTACATGATTTAATTTTGCTTTTTTATTACATTTTCTGAAGGGTATTGGTACACCAAATATCCCATTTGCAGGAAAGCGCATTCAATGTATTTAGAAGCCAAACAGTCACTTTCATTTTAACAAACACAATTACAAAGTAAAAATAAATCACAAAATAATGAACTGCATGTTCATAACATACAAAAAAATTGCTGCCTACTCAGTAGGTAACTACAACATTCCAACTCCTGAATATACATACTTATAAATTTACATTTTTGTAACAAAAATAGACTTTGAGAAGTGGGATTTTGTTGTTGTTCTTCTTAATTTGTTTCCTATTTGTTTCTGTGGGGTTTTTTTGCTTACATTCTGTCTCCCAGGGCATACTACTGTTCCCTTCCCCACCCATTCCCTGCTTTCTCTTGCATTCTTTGCATAACATCCCTTTTGCTTTAAGGCAAGATGCAAAGCATCTATTCACACAAATGCATGACATCAGCAAGGCTTCACAAAAAGGCACCAAGACTTGTAACTTTAAAAACAAAACTTCTGCCACATTTGAGTGTCTTATCAGGTGTTTTTTACATAACATCACTCTTACATGCTCAAATACAGTAAGTGCTGTACCCTAAGAAGTTTTAAACTCATTACAGCATTGCCACTAAAATAGAATTAACATTTACAAAATATGGCCCTGCAAACTCCAAATAATACAACGTGGATATGCAAAACTTTTTCAACATCAACAGTACCTAAAGGAAAGCAAAACCATGGCACACATACAATTTACATCAGCTATGTGCTTAATTAAAGGTCCTTTCCTCTTAATAAAATACTATCGTTTGTTTATGGGGAAAATTATACTGAACTTATATCCACAGTCCATGCAAATTAAGTTAATCAACAGTGGTGGAAAACTTAAACAGCAGTTTTTTTCAGGCAGCTGAATTTTAAAGAAATATTAGATAGCCTTGCAACATACAGTGTTGGGGGAGTAACTGAAGACTCCATGTCTCATAGTGCCAGTGGAAGAGGTGAACGCTCCTGTTCCAGAAGGTGATCTTAGCAAATCTCAATTGTCCTTGGAGAAAAGGTTGTTGTCATGTCTGAAAGTGCTGAAGTCACCTGTGAGCTGAAATTATTGGTAACCCCAGGAGATGGGAAGGAAGTGGCCACTTGGGTCTGAAACGTGGCAGTGACAGAGGGGTAAGTGGTTGCTATCGATGGGGATGGGAATGCTGTGTGTGCAGGGGAGGGATAGGAAGAGGAAGCAGGGGAGGAATACACTGTGCGCACTGGTGAGGGGTAAGTGGTGGCTACGGAGGAAGAGTAGGACGTAGCCACAGAGGATGAGTAGGCAGCAACAGGGGAAGAAGTAGTTGAGACTGAAGCTGCCTTTTCCACTTTCTTGTCCTTCTGCCTAAGATGGATTTTAGTGTGTCTCTTCCTCTCGTCACTTCTGGCAAACTTTCTGCCACAAATGTCACATGCAAATGGCTTCTCTCCTGTATGTGTGCGGATGTGTGTGGTCAAGTGGTCACTCCTGCTGAAGTTCCGCATGCAAATGCGGCATTGGAAAGGTTTCTGTCCAGTGTGGATGCGAATGTGACGAGTTAGTTCATCAGACCGTGAAAATCGCCGGTCACAGGACTCCACTGGGCAAGCATAGGGCCGTTCATGAGGAGGTGTCTTGCTGGGACGATTAGGGTATTTCCTCATCCTGCTGGGCTTGATCAGCTGGGACTGATAGTTAGTGTTGAGGGTCTTCAACTCCTGAGAGCCAGTCTGTGTGGCAAATGCCTTGATAGTGGACAGCGGTGTGAGGGAAGGCTGCTGTGCTCTGGTCTCAAGGGCTGAGAAGGGCTTCTGATCAGCTGAGATAAGGTTGAGCTCACTCTGTTGCTGAGAGAACAGGTAATCCGGGATCATTGGTACCTGGAAGTTGGTTTTAGCAGTCGGATAAGCTGGAGGTGGATATTGGATGGGGACTCCAGAGGGGCTGGGAAAGGACTGGGTCTGCGGTTCGGGGAAAATATCAGAGGTGGAAGTGGGGAAAGTTGGTGCAGCTGAGTAAATCGGACTGTTCTCACTGGCTTGGACAGAACAGCTCAGGGGAGTGCTCTGTGAAGAGGAAGGAGAAGATGAAGAGGATGTAGAGGTGGGAGGTGCATTAGCCATGCTCACCAGCCCACTGACAAGGCTGAAGAGGGGCTCTGGCCATAAAGAGTTGCTACTGTTTGGGGCCGGCTCTAGGGAGAAGCGCCCCGTGTAGGTAATTGGTGGTAGCCGTGTCGTTTGGTTGGAATAGCTGGTTTCTGGCATGGCTTTCTCGTTGTTCAGGGAGATCTCAGGAAAAGTGTCTGAAAATAGAAGAGAAGTGATTACTTCTAGCAGCCACTGCAGCTCTGGAGCTGCTGCCAGTGCTTCACGAGCCATCCCCACGCAGTGCAGCCCCAGATCTTTGCTTCTGGTTAATTAATAATTGAGTGCAACATATTGCAGCGCCGCTGGCAGGTCTCCAGCAGCAACGAGCCCAGAGCCGCTGACGCACAGCATAGGAGATACCCCCGCGCAGCCGCCGGGTCAGAGGCATCGCTGCGTCTCGGAGCTCCCGTGGGCGCTGCCGCCTCCGCGGTTGACCAGGTCTCCCCTGCCCGCCCGGGCGAGGCTATCACGCTTACCTGCCGCGAGGTGCTCAAAATGTTGCTCGCCGGGCTCCCCGGCCACGCCGAAGCCCGCACTCTCGGGCGCGCCGGAAGGCGCAAGAAACTGTCCCCCGCCACTGAGCAGCATCATCTCCTCCAGTTTGGGATAGTGGCCGTCCATGGCGGGAGGCGAGTGCGGAAAGACGCCGAAGGGGTCGGAGATCTGCAGCGAGGGCAGGAGCTGCATCTCTGCCTTGGCCGCAGCCATGAGGGAGCCGGGTTCGAGCTCCGACGGGTGATGCCGCCGCCGCGGGCCCGATGGATGGGCCGGCTGCGGCGAGGCGGCCGTTGCCTGCTGCCTGCCCTTGCGCCTCGTCCACCCAGCGCTGCCCGCTGGAAGCGATCACCTTCCGCCCACCGGACGGCCCGGGGCTTCCCCCCGCTGCCCGCTGGAAGCGCTCGGCTCCTCGCCCACTCCGGAGCCGCCTCTATATATCGGATCCCACCAGCCGCAGCCCGCCCCGGCCTGACGTACATGGCCATATATGGGAAGCAGGAAGCCCTTATTTGGAGGCGAGCCGGAGGACCCCGCCTGGCGTCAGCGCCTGGCACCGGGGAAAGCCGGGCGGTGGGGGCCCCTCCCGCCCTT